GTTGACTTCTCAAGAAATCTCCAGACATATTACAAAAAGCTTTTGATAACTCAGACTAGATCAACATTAACCTAACATTTAAATTGACCTGTGTATTGTAACGACATCTGGACGGAAGCCGTGACGGTGTAGGCCTCCTAACAGACTCTGAGATATATGTGCGTTTTAACGAGATTACAATGCATTTCGTGATACGTGTGGTCAATACTGACGTGGTAACAACCAGTCCGTAGTGAGACAGTGCAATACATGATTTAGGAGCGACAACAGCTCGGTTTGGACAGGAGAAAAGGTGGGCTTGTTTCTGTACTGATATTTATTGTTACATTGATGGAACATTGTTACATAATCTGATGGTTACGTACTGATTGTTGTATCATTACACTATACGCAGTTATTTAAACGTTCAATACACATAATGATTTAAATGTTGTTTTCTAGTCTGTGTTCTACCAATATCTATTGGATTGTTTTAATCGCTGTTTAAAATGCATATTTTCAATTTTCTTTCGATCACTTTAGATATTCCTAAGTCGCCTTTTTTATTTAAGATTTAGGCCCTTGGCATCACTGAGGAGTCCAACAGTGAGGAAACAGCTGTTTGATTTAGTTTAATTCATTGTTTAGCTATCTGTATCTTAACTCTATTTATTTTAAATGGTGCCTATCACTTGCATGTCCTCTGTACGTAAGCGATTGAAATATCAATATATGAATAAATAATAATCTTATATAACAGATAATTCGTTTAACTATGGTTATCATGATCTATAGATTTCACAAATATTTGTAGGAGTTACCTCCCATCGCAGCTTAAAATGTTATTTTTGTTGCTGACTTCTGACGTCTAGAGATATCCAGTACAGGGACACTACTACTGACGTCTAGTAATGTACAGGGACAATACTTCTGACGTCTAGTAATGTACAGGGACACTACTACTGACGTCTAGTAATGTACAGGGACACTACTACTGACGTCTAGTGATGTACAGGGACACTACTACTGACGTCTAGTGATGTACAGGGACACTACTACTGACGACTAGTGATGTACAGGGACACTACTACTGACGTCTAGTAATGTACAGGGACAATACTACTGACGTCTAGTGATGTACAGTACAGGGACACTACTACTGACGTCTAGTGATGTACAAGGACACTACTACTGACGTCTAGTGATGTACAGGGACACTACTACTGACGTCTAGTGATGTACAGTACAGGGACACTACTACTGACGTCTAGTGATGTACAGGGACACTACTACTGACGTCTAGTGATGTACAGTACAGGGACACTACTACTGACGTCTAGTGATGTACAGTACAAGGACACTACTACTGACGTCTAGTGATGTACAGGGACACTGCTACTGACGTCTAGTAATGTACAGTACAGGGACACTACTACTGACGTCTAGTGATGTACAGGGACACTACTACTGACGTCTAGTGATGTACAGTACAGGGACACTACTAATGACGTCTACTGATGTACAGGGACACTACTACTGACGTCTATTGATGTACAGTACAGGGACACTACTACTGACGTCTAGTGATATCCAGTACAGGGACAATACTACTGACGTCTAGTGATGTACAGTACAGGGACACTACTACTGACGTCTAGTGATGTACAGTACAGGGACACTACTACTGACGTCTAGTGATGTACAGGGACACTACTACTGACGTCTAGTGATGTACAGGGACACTACTACTGACGTCTAGTGATGTACAGTACAGGGACACTACTACTGACGTCTAGTGATGTACAGTACAGGGACACTACTACTGACGTCTAGTGATGTACAGGGACACTACTACTGACGTCTAGTGATGTACAGTACAGTGACACTACAGTGATTCTACTTTTAATGTCGAATGAAGTATATTATAAGAATAATGATATTGACATCAATTGAATAACACTTAAAATTCTACTGTCTTGTTAATTACACATAAAATACTACTTTCTTGTGAATTTCACTGAAAATACTACTGTCTTGTGGATTTCGCTGAAAATACTACTGTCTTGTGAATTTCACTGAAGATACTACTTTCCTGTGAATTTCACTGAAAATTCTACTGTCTTGTGAATTTCACTGAAAATACTACTGTCTTGTGGATTTCACTGAAAATACCACTGTCTTGTGAATTACACTCAAAAGACTTCCAACGTTATTAAAGTAATGGATATGCCAGAGGAATGCTTCGTGTAAATGAAAGTAGAGGAACCCTTTAAGTATTATAGGCAGTGTGGTTAGTCCTATATAAGTTGACTTTACAAATAACACTTAGGGAATCTGATGATAATTCCGTTTTATACCAAACACACACAACGTGACATTCAACATTTTACATTGTCCTATATCAATTAATGTGTGTCTATTATTACCGCCACCTACTTAGGTGATTTCGTCACATTAGATCGGAAGATTGTTTGAAATACGATTTTATCTACGGATTTAAAATGTATTTCAATGACGAAGTTTTAAATACTGGGTGTCAATTTATAAAATGTTATTTCATTGATTATGCTATTCGATTGAGTTTTATGGATCTGTATTTATATAATGCTTATGTATGTTTACTTGGAGCAGACATGTCCATAACCAATGCGACAACACTTTGAAAATATATATCTAAAAGTGTTGACACTAGGTTGGGTAAACAGAACAAGACAAATATTAAATAAAGTTCGAGATGTTTGTGGGCAGGATCGCGCTGACCTGCCAATAGGTTCTAGCCATAAATATCTCCTATGGTTAGTATTCATATTGAGAATAAATGTACCGAGCATAGTGTAGTCCTTAAACAAGCTGTAAGTAGATTTCATCGAAACATTCAGCTTATAAGATAGCAGAGGAAATTATATATATGTTACAGATATTGAAGATGTTGAACGTATTTTTTATATCGTGTTTGAAGGTCGTTGTCTTTGATATAATGTTTGTTTTACTTATCGTCCTCTCCTTATTAAGGTATTCTTTTGTGACATATAATCTCTTTGATATATCAGATTTAGGTTTTTCACTTGTAGATTTCCATTGGTTTGTACATTGCCCCAGTGTATACCTTATTAGTATTGCAATATATCTAACCAGTATGTTGCTACCAACCCATGTAATTTCGTTTGAAGTAAACTACCAACCCGGTGATGAAATCCGTACTTTATATTGTATAAATGAATGTTTCAGATTTATTATTTTTTGCTTTCTATCTCTGCCACAGTATTACACAATATTGACATCATTGTCCCGATATGACGGATACACCGGGACTACTGAGCAGGATATTTTAATACTCTGCTCTTCTGACTGAGAACCTGCTGTGTGATTGACAGGTGTGAAATTGATAATAACCTGAGGATGACATGGAAGATATTGGGTGGTTGTTCATTATTTGGCGTTTCTAACCAAAGCAATAATATAATGAACAAACAGATCATCTATGTCAGTTAGTAATATAAACATTTAAGACCTGAACCACATGTGATATTGTCATCGAACAACGTCCCACGATATATTTATATCATCGAGTCACGTTCACAGTAAGGGGGATTGATAATGTCAACATGGTATTATCATGTCGTCTTGACACGAGCCTGATTAATAAATAGATTGATATGCATTTTTACATTCATGCTACTTGAAAAATAAATCGATTACAACGATATACCACGGGAACAAGCATCAATAAGGGGTAGATATAACTATCTCAAGGGTATAGATATAGATTTTAATCACTTGATACAAAAATTCATGAATTTATATTGAGAAAATGATCACGATACGTTGCTATGGATACAATTATATACTGACATGAATTAAGGTATATATTCCCACATCCACTTACACAAACCAACGCAGTTATTTTTTCAAGTAATTACATAAGAACATTCACAATGACTCTCTTGCCAGCGTGTGCCTTCAAAGTCCACACTGTCCGTCGTACTTAGAACGAACTTTATCAAATTATGGGGCTGCTGCACCTCCTCGTCTAGATTTTGACTTTTCTATTGATCTCTTTGGATTTATTTATTCGCCTCCTAGACTTCAAAATTTATGCTCTTAGCATCACTGACGAGTCCTAGAAGAACGAAACAGCTGTATGATGTAGCATCACTGACGAGTCCTAGAAGAACGAAACAGCCGTATGATGTAGCATCACTGACGAGTCCTAGAAGAACGAAACAGCTGTATGATGTAGCATCACTGACGAGTCCTAGAAGAACGAAACAGCTGTATGATGTAGCATCACTGACGAGTCCTAGAAGAACGAAACAGCTGTATGATATAGCATCACTGACGAGTCCTAGAAGAACGAAACAGCTGTATGATGTAGCATCACTGACGAGTCCTAGAAGAACGAAACAGCTGTATGATATAGCATCACTGACGAGTCCTAGAAGGACGAAACAGCTGTATGATGTAGCATCACTGACGAGTCCTAGAAGAACGAAACAGCTGTATGATGTAGTTTTACTAATTGTTTGGCTTTACTGTATCTCACTCTGAATTATGAAATGGTGCTATTCACTTGTGTGTCTTGTACAATCTTAGAGGTCTGTAACGTTCATCGAAAAGGACAACGCTTTACAAATGAACAAGTCTCGTGCGTGCGTGCGTGCGTGCGTTCAAACTAACGCCATGTGACCCTAAAATGGCGTTTTAAGATACATACGTTACTGCCATACCATCACTTTCAGAACGATTTTCTTTGAACAGATATCAGATTGGATCTGTTAAGTTTGATACCTTGTGTACCATACTGTTGTGTTCAGCATCCTGTGGTGTTATATAAACACACGATGAGCTATTTGGAGCACACAGACGTTTAGCAACAATGGTTCTGAATTATTCAGCACCAAACGTGTTTGTAGACCTCGTCTACCTAACACTGTGATTAAAACTACATAAACATTTGACCGTTTCAATCTCAACGTCAGACAACAAATACAGGGGATTTAATAACTATTGTTTTCTTCCAGATTCGTCTCAACATTACATGTACGATATCCTTAACGCTGCTGATTCTCTACACGCAAGGACAGAACAACTGCAGAACCAGAAACATACCCAGGAGTGCAGTAACCTCGTAGGTATGTAGTCAATAACAACGATCATCTAGTGAACTTAAGTATATCACTGGGTTTATAGAAATAGATATCAGAACCTTATAGAACTATCTAGTTTTAATAGTTCCTCGTGATCAAAAGTCCTCTGTAATATTTCATTTTATGTTTAACAATGTGATTTAATTGTCAATTGATTTTTTTTTCAAATTAATATACCTATGGGGCACGTAATAATACATAAGTAAATTTTCTCCGTTATGAAGAAGGTCTACACAACATAGAAATACAGTCTGATGACGTGGTAACACTACAGGTAATCCCGTATGGATCGATGGCTTGGGTAATAAGATTAGAGGTTCCAGGGAGCGTTTAAGTCATGGTGTATTATATATAATGTTCTTGGTGTGTTTGTCTTAATCCTTAATCGCCATCTAGTCATTTGGCAAATGATTCAGGATATAATAACAAATAGTAAGTCACCAAATCTCCTTATCACAGTATTGATATCTGGTATTTCTGAATGTTTTATTTTGAAATTATACACCTCATAGAAGAAATATGGGTAAGTGACATTCTTTAAACACTAAAATTCTTCTTTCATATGAAGTACAAAGCCATATATTTAGCATTCCCATGGTCGAGAGCTAATGGCATCAGTTAACTCCTGTATTGCCTGCAGTGAGGTTTTCATTAGGTCAGAAATCGCTACAGCTAAGGGGGTTTGTGTATAGAGTGGTAACACTAGGCAAGATATAGTTATAGTAGCTGTTTATTTAACAACTTTAACTATATTGTCTGCACTGGTAGATATTACATTTAAAACGATACCAACACCTGATGTATCACTACTTCAAGGACATTTAAGGATATGGAAAGATAATCTCTCTCTCAAACCCCCTAAACCTACAGTGTTGACAGATGGAAGTGGACATAATAGAAAACATTTCAAGTCGATTATAGAGTTTGAAATGTAGGCAGCTGAACACTTTGATGAATGAGGTATAGTGATAACTGTTTGTAAATAGAAACCTTTCAACGCCTTAGACTACATGTCAAACATTGTATTAACCCAACAAAACGGATGTTAGTAAATGGTGGTTGGTGTATTGGGTATCAGTGGCCAGACATGTGCTGATAGGCCTTTCTCAACACGGCCTTTATCAGCGCCGCAATATTACAAACGGAAATGGCCTTTTCTAAACACACGAATTTCATGACGGGTGCCTAGTGCCTGGTACCCGTTACCACAATGGGAGTTTGGCCTGTCACCATACCGAGTAAATCTAATAGGAGAGCGATTCTAAAGAGACCCCAGCTGACAAAGTTTTATCCTTCATTTCATGATGATGATATAGGTATGTACATTATTTATAGGTCATTCGTGGAATGATGGTATTTGTGTTTGTTATGTTACTGTAAAATGATTTATTTGTTATGATGTTTACAACCCGGATTGTTTAACCATTATTATCATAATGTTTTATCTTTATGTTAATGAAGTACACTCCAAAACGAGTATCATAAACTGATGCCCATTATTTTCACCACCTACCCATAATGGTGAATACTATTTCCTTTATATAAATGTATATGGAGGTCATTTTAACATGCTTAAGAAGTTAACAAGGTGCGTGGTATTACCTTCTGGATCTATGTAAATAATATCATATTATATCATGACGCCATTACTCATGTTACATGTTTATATGTTTAGGGAGAACCCCAGCCTCATAAATATGTATCACTTAGATCCGATATGCGACATTTAATTATCATATAAACTCTGTGACATGACCTGCTATATATTCCAATGGTCTACACTGATACAGCCGAGTTTTCTCTCTGACAATTACCTTCATATATTTAGTTTTTAATCCTTGTTGGTTATAGTTTTATTGCCGTTTTAAATACATCCCACTTCCTATTTATCTTCACCACAAACCTCCACACCAAATAACCCAGGAAAGCGTGTGTTCGAATGGCGATCGACACATAAATGCAGCATTAAAGGTCTGAAATTTAATTGTCACAAAGCAGATCTCGTTAAACAGTTTGGTTGATTTTACTCACGTATAAGGACATATAAGGACATTAATTTGTAACTTGTGTAAACATGTAACATCACTGTTTATTATAATGACGGAAATCCGGGTATTATGTCTGGTGTCAATCGGTACATCTGTAACATGTACGTGCATTAAGAATCCAGACTCCAGAGGACATTTATGTCTAAGTCACTACGTGCATTGTACTGCAGAACAACTTAATTAATTTTATTAGAAAGTGAGAAATACAAAGGGATTTAAACTTGATATTTAACGGGACGTGAGATGTGCATTTATGTTTCGCAGTATAACAGTGCAGCATTCATAATGACGTCAATACATATAGCACTTTTTAAATAATCAAGACATTTAACAATTTTATTTGAACTGCACCAAGTAGATAACTTGTTTATAATTTGATAATTGCCGGTGTTAATCCTGATAATTTTTTTTATATTTCAATTATGTTTAACTCAGCGAGTGATACGATTATTCCGCTGACAATATCTCGGTTTTATATTAAACGCTTCCCCACTTCTCACAGCGACAATCGTGTAATTATACTAGTACAATAACAGCTGTAGACTAGGTATTGAGAAGACGCCATATGAACATTTTAACGAACATCATTGTTAAGACTGGCATATCAAACACTAGTATTTATCTATACAGACTATCACTTAACCAGTGAAAACGGGGCTTTATAAGAACATCGGTTTCAAACAGAGCGTACTTTTTTAAGCATTCCAATTTGGTTATATAAAATGACATACGCCGGCGTAAAGAACCGCAAAATTAAAATTTCTAGTAAGCTACACATTTTATACCATCAGCTGGTTGTTCTAGGTAGTGAAAGTAGAAATAGAGTTTTATCATTACAATACCCAGTTTTCTTTAGACAAAACAACAGTACTAGACAAGTAAAAATCTTCTCATAAATACAAATACGTGACAAAGGACATAAGTGCATAGTCAATACATATTTAGAATCGGACACGTCATAGAAGCAAATAATGAATTAGATTAATACAAGGTAATTCAAACAGAAAGCAAGATAACAGCATTAACGTCCGATTACCAACCTCCCAAAACAAGTAGGACATATACCTCCCATCAAAAACACTTAAAACCACGAACAATTATACCATTTCATCTCAATCAGTAACAATTGCTTCGGCAACTCAATGTAACATTCGCCTCTTCAACAAACAAAACAAATATAAAATCTGAAATGAATGTTAACATTTTGACTCCAGGGCCTCTTTTTGTAACACCCGAATGCAAGTGACACTCTCTAATACCTAACTGTTTTGGCTTCAAATTTAAATCATATATCCTACATCTTACCATCACAGCTGGGTGTTAGTAAACATGTATTGGTACCAAAAATAGGTGTGATGACAATGATAACATGGTATTTTGTCTTGGTTTATATAATACAGAATTAAGTGCCAGAGTTTCGAAATATTTACCTAAGTGTTCAAACACTGTACCAAAGCACTGATAAAGACAGATTTGTAACGCCACAAAGTTTCTCTGCGTCTAATGCTTATTTATCATGCTAGACCCGTCCTCGGTCTCTTATCATGAGTTCAGTACTGTCATATATCCACACCACCAATAAACCATATACTATCATATCTGTGCCTAATTTTTAACCCTTACAGTGGAATACATTGCACTGCCTCTTCTGATGCTGATGAAAATACGAGAGAAATATTTGTATCTACATGTATGATTATCTAGAAATTAACTTTATAAAGACGTGTGTGGTAAGACGTGACATTTCGTGTTTCTCAGGAAGTCATAATTGTGAACTCATCACTTGAGCATGTACCCTTATTGCGCTGAAGGGTATGTGACGGGCTTCCCATATTTGTTCGGTGAGGTAGCCGGTATCCACGACAAGGCGCCCCGTCTCATGACCCTGGCTGTTCACGGGTCGATAACTCCAGCAGAATTTATTTATATCAGAAACAGTTTCTGTTTGGGATTTATTGGTGGTGCGATATAAAAACCTATCCACATATATTGTTACTGATTTTATAGGTGTTCTTTTGATTGTAATGCATAATTTTACACAATATCCTTTACTTTGTGTCAAATTTCAACATTCAGACGATGTAGTCAGTGTTACAGAGTGCATTGTGAATATACTTAACATACGTTATCCGATTTTTAAACAGTTATTGTGAATTTTTACTTCAGTTCCATTATCTCTAAATTGCCTACGAGACCTCATAGGTAGAGTACTTCAGGTTTCTTTAAAATTCAAACAAATGAGGTAATCGATTAAATGAACGCAACAAAACAAAGCTTCGATTTTCTATTACCCAACAATGGTGGCGTTTGAACGCAATATATGTATGTTCTACCCAGACACGCTCAAATAATCCGCCCATTTTCTGAAACCCCCTTGATAGCGTTTCCCGGTTCTTATAGATTTCCAGTGTATTCTGTACATCTTTTCACTTAGAATTTCCTGTAATATGTAAATGGATGTAATAGTTTCTAAATGTAAAATTCCGCTATATTGATCTTATATCTAAGAAACACCAATACAGTAGGACCATTTACACGTGTGATTTAGATTTGCCGTCTGTCACTAGTTAATTGTTCGTAACCTTCTATCATACATATTAGTAGGTGCACATGTTAAAGCTTATCCGATCAGTACTCAATACAATACCCAGTATAATACTTCAAAAGATTACAAGCAAATACTAGATTATGCATAAAATTTTCAAATTACATATGAGCATTAAGTGGGTAGAATGCTTTTATCGGCACGGTATCGGTATCACGCCTACGTTTTGTGAGATTTTAATCATACGTATCTCAGCAGATTTGAACTTTTAATCCGTGCCGTTCAAACTCTCTCTCCCTCTGACAAGCTACGCTACTAAGTCGTAACCAGGGCCAACCTGTCTGGGACTTTACTGTAGCAGACGGTTTGGGAAAGCAGGTATGATTGTGAACTTATCGGTTACAAACAAACTGTACAATTTTTCCTTTTTGTCAAGTAGAACAGGATTATTTTTGTCAGTTTCAGTACATCGTGGTAAATTTCTCTTTTAGATTGTCGTAAAACAGGTAATGCGACCTTCTTTAGTGTAATGTAAACTAAAATCTTGGTAATTGGCATGAGAGCTTTACATATATGTAAAATACATAAACCACACATTCTTGTCTTAAACGTATAACTTTTTTTATCTTTGTTATTAATTAATTTATTTATTTATTTACTTTAAATGGAAAAAAAATTCTGGAATTACCCGCAAATGCCTCACGTTATTTCATATTGTCTTGTTATAGATATGAAACTGGATATTCCATGAAATGTATGCCAACTAACTTCTCTGATTAGTTCGTGTTCTTGTCTGTAATCTAATACTCTATAAACGTGGACATTGATATCAAGCATTGTGCTGCCTATTTTATTATTTATATTACCGAAATAAATATATAATCTTATACAGACAAGAGACATGAACCGTCAGCCGACACGAGAAAAGCTTCAGTATATACAAACATTATCCGATACACATTATTAAGGAAAATGTAGTCATCATGAAGAACATTGATTCAAACCGGAAACACTTAATTCGTAAGTATACATAAAAAATTCTTTAGTATACAACTCAGGTGAAAAATTAGGAAGTCGATCAGGTATTTTATAATTCCTTGTCATTTTTATTATGGTTGTGAACATATGGCCTGGTTTGAATAAGAATGTAAAACCTTTAACACGCAGCTTTTTCTTATTTGCACGTTATTGCGCTGCTATTGTGTGTTACTAAGCTGTGAACAATACATGTTTTCGTAGGTACTTGAAACCCAAGGTGACAAGAAACCTTTGTATCTGTGGGTGTGATAATGTCTATTCTTACTGAAAACATATGGCGAGCACTGTTCAGACGTTATGATCAAGGAGTTACTAAGATTGAAACATTTACATTTGTAGGGTAAACGTGTGGGAAGTTCTGTCAATTGAATCATGAAAACGAAGGCTTATCCTTGAACTCTCCAATAATAAAACGTATTCATTTATCATTTCTCGTCGACGTTCACAAAACTATAAAACACCATTACCTGCGTGTACGTCTCCAACGTGCTACATTGTACACAACATGTTTTTCCGGTTTCTGCTTGGCATATTAACGATAAAATATCACGTGTTTTAAAATCCGTAAACTAAGCTATGATATCTGGAATCGGCTCTTTCTTGTCTTATGATTAGTGATAGCTACAGCTGTCATCTAATATCTTGCATGCCACATGTTATCTGGATTAGTATTTTACATTTACCTGTGGTAACACAAGTATTAGAGAGAAGTTGTGGAGAAGAAATTTAATTCTAGCACAGTAACTGTTCAATCATAGATGCAGCTGGCTCACCATCTTGTCTCTGGTGGTTCCATTGCCTTACTGTCTCCTTCGTACCTAATTTTTTTTCTTATTTGCAGGCTTTCCATTTCAGTTTCTTATCGACATTATACTTACAATCAATGTCAGTCAATGTTACGCTAATATAAGACCATTATGATTGATACAATATAAACATAGCCATTCCGTTTACTTTATGGCATCGTGGATATTTCCAAGGTGTTCAAGGTTTGATATTGAAACAAGAAGAAAATGCCAGTATGTCAACATAATCATAATCCAAACTCAAATGCCATAAAACTAGGGCAAACTATTAAGAACAGAAACCTTTAAACAGAGAATCCTAAAAACGTACAATGATGATAAGACCAGTTGTTCCGAAAGAGTAAACGTCTTCTGCTTCATCGACGACACACGCTATGTATATCTTGGTCAATCCAAGTAAGTCATGTCAAGTTCTCAAATGAGAGCAAAGTATACAATAATGGAACCAATAGGTACTTCACGTTCTTTATTCTTCTTTCAGAAAACATTCGTTCAGGAGCCACCCCGGTACCCTCTCCACCCAAGGAACCACGTTCCAAAACTCCCGACCCACGACAGGACTACCACTGGATCTGTTGGCCAGAACCCGAAAACAAGTCCTCGTCCAAAGAAAAGGTGCCTCACCCTCCCCGTCCTAACACATCGCTTGGCATCAATTGGCCCATTCCCAGACCAGGAAATAGCGCGGACGATATAGAGGATCGACCAAGTTCTACTGAACCGGGTTATGTGTTCGGAGATCAAGAGGTAGGTAATTCCATGTGTTCCTTAGTGAAACCTTTAATTGTTCCATTGCAAACGAAGTAGATACAAAGAAGAGATAAAAAAAAAGTCTATGGAACTGAACAGATTTGGTCAACGAACGATTAAAACTATCATCAGATCATCTCTCCCACCTTCTCGAAAAAGAAGCGAAGTTGTTTGAAAGTTGTACGCAAATAAGACCCAGAAAAGTGACCGATGTTCTAACCCCCGTTGTTGTAATATTGGAATAATCAAGAATACGGATGCCTTGCGAACAAATTGTAGCATCGTGTTAGGTTGTCTTTTTCTTAAAACGTTTAAGTGTATATTAATGAATTTCTCGCCTGTGGTAGCCATCCCATCAACTTCGTCGCCTAATACATTAAACATTTATAGATATATTAACATCAAAAGTACATACAGCGATGTTCTAGAGGTGTTTGATAACGCATGGCTAATACTGCACGGAGAGGATTTTTTAAAATGAGTATAAATGTTTGCTGGAAATTAAATTTTGATACATCTATAATTAATGCGAGTTTGGCGAAATTGATTACCCCTTTAATATTACCAACTGTTCAGTATGCACTGTGCCTAGACAGCGTCACCATCCAATGCCATCAGACAGTCTCTGTATTAGTAACCTGAAGTTATATTGTATACCAGAGTGTTGAAATGTGTCCAATGCTTGTGTTTCCAAAGACCGTAAAACAATAACCAAGTTAGTCTAGACACGTACCTGTTCAGACGGGCCTACAAAGCTACTTACTGTAACGGTTGTCTCGTCTCTATAAGCGATCAGTGTGGAGTGAGGGAACAGTTCCATCATGCTTGTCCCAATAGGGATCACTTTGTCCGTATTGTACTGATGGTCGAGCACAAACGTAGCCATGCTGGACGTCCTTAAATCCACCACAGAATCTCCCGGTGTCACTACTTTATCAATAGTGTATAACTAGTATGACACTTTCATAAAATCATCATACCGAGAACCGCACGTAAAAATGGTGAGGTCATCTTAAACAAAACGGTGTCCCGCTGTAAAATGATTTAACACTACAAAATATCGGTGTATGGTGGTCGATGTGTTACGATACCAAAACAATCTCGTGGTAATATTTTCATGCTAGATTAAACAAATCAGTAGACGAACTGTAAATACAAAGATAAGTATATCAATTAAAGATACGTCTTCTTTTGTAGCAATCGGATATTTTACTTATCTATGCTCTGTGATTGTATACGAAACTCTGCGGGCCACATACTTCACCGGTCATTGTTACGATCGTACAATGTCATATGTATCCTCTTACATCGTGTCCTAAAACGGATATATATATATATAAGGTGTCTTTGTTCTTGTAATTATGATAGATGTTACTCGGGGTATTTATATGGCTTACATAAGTCTCATATTTTTGATGCCTATCTTTGACGCTCATTCTTCACATCGCTTTTCTGAAGTACCGTCGAGCATCCAAAAAATAGTAAATAAGAAAAGAGATACACGGTTATTTAAAGATAGCATTAGGTTGATGTAGTTTTTTGCTTTAGAATATAAGTTAATTGTAATTTAGATATGATTAATGTTATATGAAATGGGAGTATTATATATTGACTGAGATAACAATACAGATTGTCCAGTTTGTTTAGTAATACCTGGTGGTCGACAATTAGTCAGTATAAGATAAATATGTTAACCGACACTGTTATCTGTGATATATAGAGACGTGGTGTTCGGTCATTGATCCGTGTTATCTACAGCTACATGTTATAGTGATTGTTTCTAAGTATGTGCATTACATCATTGCTGAATTTACATCCGGTGGACGATATATCATGTGGACATATGTAAATACAGATAATAACATATCGTACTTTTATCATTGTTCTTACGGGGTGGTCGGGTGGCGTAGTGGTAACGCATTCGCCTTTCACCAAGACGTCCGGGGTTCGATTCCTGGAATGGACGTGAAAAGGTATCGGGTCACCTGCCCGACCACGTGGGTTTTCCCCGGGTACTCCGGTTTCCTCCCACAGTAAGACCCGAGTCTAGCACGCTTCCATCTGGCTCAATAAAAGTAAATTGGAAAGGTTTCGGAATTGTTGTAAAACGAAAAAAATTTTTTTTTATATAGAATTAGAATTCTATAGAATACAATTAATTAAGTTCACACAATGAAACCAACTCCGCCATATTTAATTCAAGTAACTATACACAATGTACACCCAAACCATACGTGTTATAAAAACTAGTCTGAATATATACATAACCATGTGGTCATTTCAAGTAATCACTTATATATGGAAATGAAAACGGTCGTTATCAATCTTAATAAATGTTACAAAGTTAAAACACAGCCCTTTATACCTCTTAAGTAAACCTAGCCAGTGATATTCTTGTGATTAACGATAATCCATGGCGGATTAATGCCATGGCTCACATGTGATATTACAACACTGGAAGGTTTACAATGACTTCATACCACTGGTCGATAATTGTTAATAGCAATTTGAGATACGTGTTAGGGTCAAGTTGAGCTGGTTCTGTTATACGACAGAAGTTGATTGAGTTAGACAATAGTAACGGCCTGGATTATCTCCTACTTAACAATAATATAGGATGGTATATGGATCCAGACCCCGTTAGAACAAAGCCTCCTAAATCGATGTGGCTAGTAAATGTAATCCCATTTTATAAGTATTACATCATATGAACATATATGGTCATACACTTGTGTTCGCAAACAATGTATAAATGTTTTCCGGGAGTTTGAATGTTTGGTAAAAAGGACACAACGGGGTTTATTTGCTGGAGAGATCTTATGAAATATATAGAGTTATATTACTGTATAATACTGTATAGTGATCCCGGAGTTATAGACCCAGTCCTTGTATAACTCAGGCCTATTGTTTCAACAAAGGACAGATACAATGCCTACATATACACAATTAAAGCGTGGAATATTTGAATACACGACAATGTTGGGACAATAACGAGGTTGTACTCTAAGGTGACATGACATATATGTTTTGTCTTACAGAGGTGTAAACCACGTGGAGTAGCCTATGTAGCCACACATAAATCGTCCCAATGACTACACCATAAATCCTGCATACAATACACATGTTTAATCGGCGATGACAGGGCTACAATATATGTCTAGGATTATATACCGCACACAGTTACAAATACAACACGGATTAAGCTTCATTGGTTAATCATATACCCATTAAAACATATATTTATGTGTTGTTTTACCTACCACTTAGAGCAAAACAAACTTTGAGATTAAATTTCCTTAATAATGGAAGTTATTGGTAATGATGAATAGTAAAAAGGATGTCCATTTTTTAGTGATTAGGGGGGAAATTGGTCATAAGATTTTAACAAAATATGTTATCAAGCTGATCGATATTGATTCTGTCTAATCTGGTATTAATGGACAAGTCTGGAATAAAGCGGATTAATTCATTAACAAATACCCCGTTGGACCCCATTCAGAAGTGCGTCTACCAACCTGATACGACTGACCATTCACAGAGGTTTAAACGTACATCGAGGTGTTAAGATCATAGCACTGCCAAATCACACTTGACCTGTATTCAAGATTCGTATCGCTTAAAAGTGTCGTGTAGGATATGTTTTGTTTATAGCCCAACAAAATTGCATCTTTCGTGTGAAAATGTGAAGAGCTACCATAAGGTAAAGGAATATTTGGTATTTTATTTTTGTGTGTTCGCTCGTAAACTGTAGTCCCGCGTCACATAAGATGAGATAAGTGTTTATTCTGTGACGGCAAATTACGGACTATTATTTAGATACTCGTTTATTACCTGTGAGTAAGTATATATCATGTCGTAAAAACTGACGGTAAGTTTATGTGAATGATCTGGTGATGTTAATTATAGAGTAGCATTTTGTTAATGTCAACCTGGGGGAGAGTGTAAGGGGTAGCAGCGAGAAGTCGTGTCATATTGTCTAGACAGTGGGAAGGTGTTTCTCACACTGTCAAATGTTCGTTGATATGGAAATATGAAATAAAGCCCATTGGGGCTTATTCAAAAAGATAATATAATGTACCAGGATTAGATCATTCAACATAAAGACGTATCTCCTCAATGCTATCGGATGTTTAAAAGAAATGAGGGTTTTCATCGAACTTTTAACTGTTTTTCTGCAACATTCATTTTTTTTCTATTTTCGTCACATCAGTCCTAATGTTGTGTTGTGTGTTACCTTGGTATCACATCAGTCCTATTGTTGTGTTGTGTTTTACATTGGTGTCACATCAGTCCTAATGTTGTGTTTTACCTTGGTATCACATTAGTCCTAATGTTGTGTTGTGTTTTACCTTGGTGTCACATCAGTCCTAATGTTGTGTGTTACCTTGGTATCACATCAATCCTAATGTTGTGTTGTGTTTTACCTTGGTGTCACATCAGTCCTAATGTTGTGTGTTACCTTGGTATCACATCAGTCCTAATGTTGTGTTTTACCTTGGTGTCACATCAGTCCTAATGTTGTGTTTTACCTTGGTATCACATCAGTCCTAATGTTGTGTTGTGTTTTACCTTGGTGTCACATCAGTCCTAATGTTGTGTTTTACCTTGGTATCACATTAGTCCTAATGTTGTGTTGTGTTTTACTTTGGTGTCACATCAGTCCTAATTTTGTGTTTTACCTTGGTATCACATCAGTCCTAATGTTGTGTTGTGTTTTACCTTGGTATCACATCAATCCTAATGTTGTGTTGTGTGTTACCTTGGTATCACATCAGTCCTAATGTTGTGTTGTGTTTTACCTTGGTATCACATCAGTCCTAATGTTGTGTTGTGTTTTACCTTGGTATCACATCAATCCTAATGTTGTGTTGTGTTTTACCTTGGTATCACATCAGTCCCAATGTTGTATTGTGTGTTACCTTGGTATCACATCAGTCCTAATGTTTTGTTGTGTTTTACACTGGTATCACATCAGACCTAATGTTGTGTTGTGTGTTACCTTGGTGTCACATCAGTCCTAATATTGTGTTTTACCTTGGTGTCACACCAGTCCTAATGTTGTGTGTTACCTTGGTATCACATCAGTCCTAATGTTGTGTTGTATTTTACCTTGGTGTCACATCAGTCCTAATGTTGTGTTTTACCTTGGTGTCACATCAGTCCTAATGTTGTGTTTTACCTTGGTGTCACATCAGTCCTAATGTTGTGTTGTGTGTTACCTAATGTTGTGTGTTACCTTGGTATCACATCAGTCCTAATGTTGTGTTTTACCTTGGTGTCACATCAGTCCTAATGTTGTGTTGTGTTTTACCTTGGTATCACATCAATCCTAATGTTGTATTGTGTGTTACCTTGGTGTCACATCAGTCCTAATGTTGTGTTTTACCTTGGTATCACATCAGTCCTAATGTTGTGTTTTACCTTGGTATCACATCAATCCTAATGTTGTGTTTTACCTTGGTGTCACATCAGTCCTAATGTTGTGTTTTACCTTGGTATCACATCAATCCTAATGTTGTGTTTTACCTTGGTGTCACATCAATCCTAATGTTGTGTTTTACCTTGGTGTCACATCAATCCTAATGTTGTGTTGTGTTTTACCTTGGTGTCACATCAGTCCTAATGTTGTGTTTTACCTTGGTATCACATCAATCCTAATGTTGTGTTTTACCTTGGTGTCACATCAATCCTAATGTTGTGTTTTACCTTGGTTTCACATCAGTCCTAATGGTGTGTTGTGTCTAACCTTGGTATCACATCAGTCCTAATGTTGTGTTTTACCTTGGTATCACATCAATCCTAATGTTGTGTTTTACCTTGGTTTCACATCAGTCCTAATGTTGTGTTGTGTCTAACCTTGGTATCACATCAGTCCTAATGTTGTGTTGTGTCTAACCTTGGTATCACATCAGTCCTAATGTTGTGTTGTGTCTAACCTTGGTATCACATCAGTCCTAATGTTGTGTTGTGTCTAACCTTGGTATCACATCAGTCCTAATGTTGTGTTGTGTCTAACCTTGGTATCACATCAGTCCTAATGTTGTGTTGTGTCTAACCTTGGTATCACATCAGTCCTAATGTTGTGTTGTGTCTAACCTTGGTATCACATCAGTCCTAATGTTGTCTATTGATATAAGTACGTTTATGAGTATGTGTTGCTGCCGTTGTATATCTCAACCTTATGTATAGTGGTTGTACAATGAATTTACCCTTTGTTTTTTATTTTACTTGACACTTAACCATTTTATTCAGTTTAGCGGGAAATGGTATTTGAAAAATTCTCAGTGGTGGCAAATCTTAAATAACAGATCAACTGAACACAGCTGTAAATTTATTTGGGGTTAGGGCAAGACAAGATAGAGTGGAGACGTCTGATATTGTAGGCTAGAGTCCTTTTCGAAATGACACAAAAACCACATCATCGTAGTAGTAAGGGATAACACAGAATAAGTCACCGTAAATTCTATGTCATTAATCCCTGTAATATTACTGCATTTTAACTTGATGTATAATTATATATTTTTTTCCACCAGGAAATAACCCGTGGACCTCCTATGACCTTTGTTCCTGAACTACAATCGTGGATTAACGCTGCTAGTGATTACGGTAAGTGTCTATATTATACTTCCAAAATTAAAGTTGTCTTTGTTCCTAAACTACAACCAGGAATTAACGAGGTAAAATTCACGGTGTCATTGTAATATTAACACGTCTTTTGGTTCTTTGTTACAACAGCTAGCAGGGATGTATAACATAGAGATTATCATACACCCCTGCAGCACACGATAAGGGCTTTCACGATTTCTTTATCAAAAATAATACACAAATGTTATTTGTAAAAATTATCATGATCATACTAGTAATAGCTTCTATTGAAAAGCTGATAAAATGGTTTGTTTTTAATTTGTTCCCATACTATGTTCTGATGTAACTAAATATTAGCAACTGGACACACTGCCATATCAAACAGTATATCATGTTAACTTATCTTCAAGAAACATTTATATTTCAAAGAACATATATCTAACTTTGAAATCCTATTTGCTTTTATGTACGTAACTTATCCTTAATCAAATCACAACACGACTACGTAATGGAGATAATGTAATGACCTAGGACACGCTATGTATAGTGGCTCTCTCTGGTCCATTCATACATTTGTGTATAAAATTAAGTAAAGATGGAATATTGATTTGGAATATTTTACTAATATGTGGCTGTAGTTTAAGGAAAATAATACTCCTTCGTCTTTCACTTTGTTTACACCATTGATATCTTTATTCACCTATCAAATTTTACTGTTTGTATTAGCATCAGAGCTAAACGGTACCCCACCTAGTATACCGTTTATAAAACTGTAATGTACCCCCACCTAGTATACCGTTTATAACACTGTAATGTACCCCACCTAGTATACCGTTTATAACACTGTAATGTACCCCACCTAGTATACCGTTTATAACACTGTAATGTACCCCACCTAGTATACCGTTTACACGCCTGTTACAGATAAAGCCTTTATATATCGAATGATGGCACTGAACGGAACCCTCCCAATGATCCCTCCCCAACATATGCGTCCACGACGCGAGACCACCTACACGTTCGGTCAAACCAAACTTCCGATGTCAACGCAAACATACCTACCCAATCCCTACGCACAGAGATGGGTACCGGGTGGCGGAAATATGTCCCCGAGGTAAGACTTTTGTTTCCAGATTAACTTACTTCATGGCAAACCAGTAACTTGTAGAAATCATAAATTCTAAATTCAGAGAGCTGTACTCGCCTCATTTTAGACTGATAATGTTTTACATTAAGACAAAAACACCCTTTAAATATGACACGATAGTATTATTGTACAACTGTTAAAAGGACACATAATATGACGTACTGTGTGAATTGACACCTGCCATTCATAACAGTAACGAATGTCCTTATCTTTTTTTTATCAAGAGCTCTGCCGTCTTTACCCCAAATGCAACGTAGTTACACAGATCTAGATGACCTGAACAATGCCAGACGTTACCTGCGTCCACAAATGTCCAAGTCACAAGACTACGTCCACGAGCACAGTATGTTCATGGTATGTATAGTAATACATTATAATCTTTTGATCAAAGTATTTATTATAAGCATGGTAAAGTTCCGCCAATAAGATTGTGTGACAGAAACACGTATGATATGTTTCAACATTGCTGCTGTCTTTGGATCGGAATTCGTACAGCAGCATTTATTAGCAATATGGTCGGCAGTAGAACAGAACATAACTGATATGTTTGTTTAATCCATGATTATTAACTACAAAAATTCTCATTATAAATATCTCTTTTTTTTTTTTAAAATAATTATAAGATTAAGGGTGAATAGTATTTTAATTCCTGAGAAATGGTGAGATGTTGATCGGATGTCTTGGTGTGGAGTGATTATTGCGTATATGAGATTTATCGACCCAAAAAGGCTCTATTATACCAGGGACTTTATACGTCCCTGGTTATACTGATACTTTTCCCTATCCGATGCACTTATCTGGGTTTTTTTCTCCCTAATGGTACACAATTCTTATTCATCGGTAGCGACATGAAGTACATGAAATGTTTAGGTTCTTGGTTTAAATCGAGAAGTTTTCGCTGTTTGTGGCTATCGTATTTCAATACGTATCGAGATATCAATCGTTTTTCAATACGTATCGAGATATCGTGTGTGATTAATACAGAGTATTGTTACAAACGTTACTAGAACAGTGTTCCTTGATAGAGACGAACGGTAGCTTTTTGTTGTATTTAGATATGTAAGCAGATTAAAGTTTTACACAACTTTTATAACAGTCGTTATCCAACCAACAATATCTGTGTTTAATATACAAACATTATTATACTATCCCTGATACAGACCAACTGTTTAGTAAGTACTTCTGACTATATAACGTTTTCGTTAACTCTTAGAACATGTGGTGAACTAACACGAGTTCCGTAGTCTAGGACCTGTAACAAAACATATGAATTTGTGTTGATAACTTGGTTGGTGCATGGGCAGATCAAGCCAGTAACTGAAGAGTGAATCCTTGATATATCTATATGTTTTCATGATTAAGCATTGTATATAGAAAATAATGGTTTGATTTGTTCAGTTGAAACCAATATAACAAACTCGGCATTTCTGTATGTCAGCATACAAATTTGCTGTAACAATATCGTGTGATTCTGTCATGCATGTAATATACATCGCAATATGTCATCGATCTCAAAGAATAGTTTCTCAGATGTCAAAAATAATATCACTGGATAACACCGAGTGATTCGAGTGGTATTGTCTGGACTTGTACTAATAAGCCAAAAATGAAATTTCCTTCGTGATGTTAAACAATAAAAACAAGGGAATCCAACTCAGTAAGTCCCCTATTAGCCCAGTCTATAGAAACGCATAACATCGGTGACGTAGCCCTGGTTACTGTTGTAGTTGTCTGGTCTACAGTAACACATAACATCGGTGATGTAGTCTAGGTTACTGTTGTGGTTGTCTGGTCTACAGTAACACATAACATCTGTGATGTAGTCCAGGTTACTGCTGTGATTGTCTGGTCTACAGTAACACATAACATCGGTGACGTAGCCCAGGTTACTGTTGTGGTTGTCTGGTCTACAGTAACACATAACATCGGTGACGTAGCCCAGGTTACTGTTGTAGTTGTCTGGTCTACAGTAACACATAACATCGGTGATGTAGTCTAGGTTACTGTTGTGATTGTCTGGTCTACAGTAACACATAACATCGGTGACGTAGCCCAGGTTACTGTTATGGTTGTCTGGTCTACAGTAACACATAACATCGGTGATGATTTCTGCCTGTAGGCCAGGTTACTGTTGTGTTGTCTGGTCTACAGTAAACACATCGGTGATGTACAGGTTACTGTTATGGTTGTCTGGTCTACAGTAACACATAACATCGGTGATGTAGCCCAGGTTACTGTTGTGGTTGTCTGGTCTACAGTAACACATAACATCGGTGACGTAGCCCAGGTTACTGTTGTGATTGTCTGGTCTACAGTAACACATAACATCGGTGATGATTTCTGCCTGTAGGCCAGGTTACTGTTGTGGTTGTCTGGTCTACAGTAACACATAACATCGGTGATGTAGTCTAGGTTACTGTTGTGGTTGTCTGGTCCAAATTAATTCCTAACTTTCAACAAATCGGCAGTCGAAAATCATTACCACTTTTATTAATTCGTTTAATCGGTTAGTTTCATATGGATCCAGTTGCATTCACTAATATTTTTATTAATTAACTGAAATTTCAAATTTTGCTTTCCTTGAAAAATGATTAATGTTGAATTCGTTTCATTAAGCAATAAGTGAGGCAAATAAAAGGGAGGTAATAAGAACAGCCAACCCACCAATGGAAACTGTAGTAGTGTATATATAAGGGAGACAACTTTCATATAATCCTCATGATGGATATCTCCGTACGGCATATATATGTAGTAAAAATTGTTGCATTAAAAAAATGAAAAAATCTTTACAATTGACCAAAACACTTTTGATTACGACGTCGGCATAAAAGGAACGATTACTGTTGATGGAGAAGACTCTTTCATTATTTTTGTTATATATTTTTTATCAAACAGATATAATGGTAATGAAATGTTTGTTGTAGACAACCCAGCCTCTGTGTCGTGGCCACTTCATCATCCACCCAGACTGGGTGTCAGAACGCCTACCAAGAAGGAAGATGACCCCATTTAAGAAGAACAGACAAAGCATGAGATATGGATCTATGAACTAGATTTACCAGTATGGCAGACTCAAAACAGACGTTTTCGTGCATAATGTATTTATTGGTTTTTAAACAAACTGCTCAAGATCTTTCTATACTGGTGTTTGCTCAAAAAGAATGTGTTTGCACCAAATTGCGCCGTTTTTGCGGTGACGCTAGAAATGTCTTTTGAAAGAATAGTAACTCAATTTCATGTCAAATTTATTTTCACACGCACTAGACAGATTGACATTAGATATGCAATGCATGGTTCCATGGCTAAAGAACATTTTGTTTTACGAATAATGTAAATGTTAAGTAATAACTAGTTATATGACGAAGTCAAGAACATGGTACACAATCAAAGTAGGTCAATTACAATGAAATATTTTTTTCATCAAATAGGGATATGCTTTGTTTTTCTAGAAATTTATTATTTTGACAAGTAGACATTTATGTTAAGACAAAAATACGAGTAAGGCAAATATATTGTATTACCTAATGAAGCGTATCAAGATAATTCGCTGATATAGATTATAGACAAGAAGTTTTATATTTATAAAGTCATATGGACTATAAGCATGTTCCGTCCAATTAACGTTTTAGTGTAGATCGAGAAATACTCTCCAAAGTATCTGTGATGGTTGTTTCGAATTAAAACATGAACGCTTTATGTTCTGCATGTGTTACTGTGACCCTTTTTTATAACACGTTAGCGTGAAATGATTCTGAAACAAATTCCAGGAAATATATTGGGCATCGAAGATTTGAAAAATAGCAGCCAGTTACACATCTCAACATTTCACATCATAGGTAGTGCTTATATAGAAATCATTATGATAAATGGATAAAGAAAAAAAGCTCATTTAAATAACACATCGAACAAAGGTGGAAATGGTCCCAGATCATTTCACGTGTGTATACTTATTTATTGTGTCATACAAACAAACATCACCACGCTTTATTATTGTTTGCTAGTCGTTTAATGTAAATATTATTTCCAAATTTGTATATATATATATATATATTAACTGCGTGTCGTGTATATATAGAATTACATAATGCATACGATTAATGTAAGTTGGTTTGTGTAAAGCCAGTTTTATTTAGACAACTTTCGTTATCTCAAAGTATGAAATTTTTCCTCGCATCTTTTATTGAATTAGTATTTAACTTATTTTTTCTATGGTCAGACATTCTTTAAAGTATTTGAGTTATTTGTAAATATGTGTACATTTTATCCTTTGATTGTCTTAAAGTTCTTTTTTTTATGAGTTGAAAAGTATGAAGAATGGAGCTTCATGGGTCTTTTGCTAATTACGGCAAAGCCAAAGAACACTTTACCAGTGTCAGTATTAAGTTGTACAGCAGAGTGTGTTTTCTGGGTGTGGTCTAAATATACATTCTTTAATATTATACAACAAGATGTTTCTGTCTCGTGATAACATATTAGCATGCACGTGTGTACGTATTTAGCATTGTTATGGATATACGCGCCAAGCACCTACAAGCTCTACACAGTTTTGTTCTATGTAACGTTAAAGCTACCAGGCATGTTTTTCCTCTATTCTAGTTTATTAAACTCAACATGAAACATCAGGTCTTGTTTGTTATTCTTTATTCAGGTATTTGTTTACATTTATCGGACCGTGGCAATAACAAATTATTTCTATCATATATATTCTGTCTTTACTAAATACACTATGGAGAATATCCTTGCAGGTATTGTCGTTTTACATAACCGAAGGTCGCAATAGTTCTATACATTGGTTGGCTATTTTTCTAGTTAGCCTCGCATCCATCGAACCAAAACTGTGGGGAAATTATCATAGTAGTTATTTATTTGATTCTGTCATAAAGAATTTATTTTGACTACAACAAAACAGGAACGTGACCGAAAAGGTCAGCGTGGCTCCGAATGATCAAGGACTGTCTTCTTCAGCAAAGTAGTCAAGAGTTCTGAAAATCTGAAATAATCTAGTTTTATATCTCTTGAAGAGCACGGATAAGGGAGGAAACAAACATTTTTGCGTTTTGAGATTTACGTTGATACATGAATGTATTTTCTAATGACGTGGTCACAAAATTTATTGTACTCTCTTCGCTCCATCAAGGACGTACAATGCACTATTATACGCCCATGTCTCCGTGCAGCACAATCACGATGTACATGCACATCTGTTTTTCTGAAGTAAAAAGATGTTTAAAAATCGAAAGGACTTTACATAATGGATATATAGGAGAACAGACGATGAGCCTCTCTCTGGAATGCATACAGACAGAAATGTCTTCAACGATTAATTATGTATTTGACAAGGATTGAGATACAGACAGGAAGTTTGAAAGAAAATTAGACTGCCAAAATTGATGTAAGGGAGATAATCGCTGTATATTTCAACCGTCTGAAATGACAAGTACATGTACTCTAAACTAAAGTCGGGAAACATCGGCGCTAATAATCAACAGTAAGTATTCCAATGGGAATATATAAAGTAACAAAAAGGATAGTTCCTGGTATTTGACAACCACACTACATTTTATCCTACAGAACATAGTAATTTCCAGGTAATTTGACAAGGATTACATAATTGACTATTCCAACGGTGTTATACATCTTTTCTATGGATTCTTGTATATGTATATAAAAATACATGATGTTTCGTATTAAATCTTTGCTGAAACAATGTGACAGGATATATAAAATAATAAAATAAAACTGTCCTAAAGTTAAGTAACATTTATTATAATAAATTCATAGAACACTACATATTATAAATTCCTGTATGATATGCATCAAATTTAGTAAAACAGCTGTCATCTTTGGGGAAAAGATTTGTATACTGGATGTCTTCTCTAAATACAATCACATGTTACCTGTATAGAAGTAGAGTTACAAACCCTGAAGCCATTGTAACCAGGCAGTATCAACAACTATCACCTACACATGGATGACAACCCATTGTAGACAGTAGTAGAACATACTGTTTGGAAACCTTCAGAGGACTCTACTGTTATAAGGTATCTACCTGAAACCAACAAATAATGAAGTAGATCAGCTACAGTATACAAGTAAACTTACGGCCTCAAAACTTTTTACAAACATTTCATTTAATTAACCTGTATATACTAGATATACTGACAATTCAAAAATTCCAGTCATACATTAAATATGTTCATCATATATTTGAAAGTATACATTCACAACAAAAGGAAAATTGACAATGTTTCATAAGGTAGATCAGTAACTAAAAAATAGTTTATGATAATAGTGTTATAACAACCATTGGTAGCAGTATATATCACTTTATACCGAACATCACATCAGACATAAAAATATATCACATGTTCTTCTAACTCATTATGAATTTACTGAATGACAACTTTGAAAACATTTGTTGCATGAAGGTGTTTTTGCTAACATCCATACTCATGAAAATATTTGAGATGAAATTTATTTATATTTGGACATCTTAACCTACTACACATGTAATGATACTCTTTAAGGTCTAATAAGTTTATTAACTTCCAAACATTTACTATTACTGACGAGTTAGTTTCATGGACAACCAAATAATTCACCTTCAAATAAACAAAAAAGTTATGCAAAATATTAGTAACATATCATACGATTCAACACACACCAACATATGTAGATTTATCACAAATACAACATAAAATATTGACAATAAAAATTTGAAAATAAACGGTTTTATATCACAATAAAAATGCAATACCAACACTGAAGTTTTATTCTGTATTCATAGACATTTGTCCAAATACTCAAAAGTTTTTTTCTGAAAGAAAAATTCTAAATGTGGCTGGCATAATGAATTAATGATGTGAATAATTTAAGAATTAAAATAGTTATTTGGCAACTTCTTAAAACTCTCAAATTTTATATGAAAAGATAAATTAAAACAACAGTAAATTATAAATGATGTTTGTTCCAATTTTTAAGAGCAGTAAACAGCATAAACCTTGTAGTGACAAACTTTATATTTATAAATATACATCTTTGTATACGCAGCAAAGTTAACAATGATGGAACAATGGAAGAGACATCTCAAAGTTTTTGCAACACTCTATTTTGTTTGAACTTGTGCTGCCTCTCTTGTAGTTGGCTTTCCAACATGTCAGGAAGTTTTTCATCTGTGAAATAATCTGAAATTGAATGAATAAAAAAGAAACTTTAAGTAAAATACAGAGATTAAAATATACAGAGGAAATTCTAAATCACACATTGTAACAAATTAAATTACACATTGCAATGTATTAAATTTTGAAACATTTTCATTTATAATCATAATAAAGATGTAGTTTGACTCATATTCCCTCAATCACCAAGTTAGTTTACAGACCGGATAGTGCAAAAAGCTTAATGAATGAGGAATCTTATAACCCCAGATTAAACCATCATCCCAGCACACCATCCCTCTTACAGCAATAGTACAGAACTGTTATCCTGGAGTAAACTCACGCCTATCCATGTCTTCAATACCTCAATAGTGCAAAACTATAATTGTTATCCAGGGCAAACCAATGCCCATATATGGCCGCAATACCTTCATAGTGTAACATAAAACTAGAAGTGTCCTACAGAAGCTAACCAATCCCCACACCTGACCTCCATAGTGTAAAACTAAAACTGTAACAATGTATTCAGTTCAAACCAATACACACACCTGACCTCCATAGTGTAAAACTAAAACTGTAACAATGTATTCAGTTCAAACCGATCCCCACACCTGACCTCCATAGTGTAAAACTAAAACTGTAACAATGTATTCAGTTCAAACCAATCCCCACACCTGACCTCCATAGTGTAAAACTAAAACTGTAACAATGTATTCAGTTCAAACCAATCCCCACACCTGACCTCCATAGTGTAAAACTAAAACTGTAACAATGTATACAGTTCAAACCAATACACACACCTGACCTCCATAGTGTAAAACTAAAACTGTAACAATGTATTCAGTTCAAACCGATCCCCACACCTGACCTCCATAGTGTAAAACTAAAACTGTAACAATGTATTCAGTTCAAACCAATCCCCACACCTGACCTCCATAGTGTAAAACTAAAACTGTAACAATGTATTCAGTTCAAACCAATCCCCACACCTGACCTCCATAGTGTAAAACTAAAACTGTAACAATGTATTCAGTTCAAACCGATCCCCACACCTGACCTCCATAGTGTTAAACTAAAACTGTAACAATGTATTCAGTTCAAACCGATCCCCACACCTGACCTCCATAGTGTAAAACTAAAACTGTAACAATGTATTCAGTTCAAACCAATCCCCACACCTGACCTCCATAGTGTAAAACTAAAACTGTAACAATGTATTCAGTTCAAACCAATCCCCACACCTGACCTCCATAGTGTAAAACTAAAACTGTAACAATGTATTCAGTTCAAACCAATCCCCACACCTGACCTCCATAGTGTAAAACTAAAACTGTAACAATGTATTCAGTTCAAACCAATCCCCACACCTGACCTCCATAGTGTAAAACTAAAACTGTAACAATGTATTCAGTTCAAACCAATCCCCACACCTGACCTCCTTAGTGTAAAACTTAAACTGTAACATTGTATTCAGTTCAAACCAATCCCCACACCTGACCTCCATAGTGTAAAACTAAAACTGTAACAACGTATTCAGTTCAAACCAATCCCCACACCTGACCTCCTTAGTGTAAAACTTAAACTGTAACATTGTATTCAATTCAAACCAATACCAATTACATGGTCCTATTATCTCAATGGTATTACAAGATTTGAGACAAACCAACACAAATGCATGATTCCAATTTTAGTTTTTAGTATTAGAATAGAAAATTATGTTTAAAGCTGATCTCAAGATAAAAGAAAAATTTGGGGAGAAGATTTAGGAAGTAGTATTAATGTCATGTTTACTTATCATGATCTGTAAATCATTAACAAAACGTAATAATTTTGTTCCATGTTGCATATAAACAATCTATATCCAGTGAAGACTTTCTATTCTGAAAATACACAGTTGTTGTTAATATCGACAAGATAACCACATGGATTTTCATCTTTGATTCTTCGTTTTCTCTTCTTTCCTTGGTTTTTCTCTCAAGCACAGTTTGAAAAATCCCCAAAGAAATAGTGATAATAATCTTTAACTCAAATATAGAATGATTGTATGTTTGCCATTTTGTTTTTTCTGATTAGTCCTACAAAATCAAATGGGCACAAATAAGAACCAAGGGTAAGGTACATTTTTTATTGTCAAAATCCAAGATGGCCACCTGTCAGCAATTTAAGTTTTTGATCTATCCTGTATTTCTCAAGAAATTGTGATAACAACAAAATCCCAGATGACTGTCAGCTAGTGTTTTATCTGAACAGTCCCAAAATCAAAATGGTGCTGCTAGAGACCAAAGGAAACTTACATATGAAATTTGAGAAAATTCCAGCCAGTTCTTCTCCATATATAATAATTATATCTCTACAATTGACGCCTTCAGCCATTTTTTGACCAGTCATAAATTGGACTTTGTACAACTAAGAACCAAGGCAAAGGATGAAAGTTGAGAATGATCCATGACACGCTTTTCTTGAAATAGTGATATAAAGAATTGCTCAAGGGCAGAAGGAAGGACAGAGGGGCGTATGGGTGGACACAGGCCAATTTGAATAGCCTATCATCTGATGATGGGCAGTTCAAAATTTTTAAGGACAAAAATAAAATCTTACCTGCAGCAAAGTCTTTGATATTTTCTGGGCGGTTTCGTAAAACATCACTGTAAAAAGAGTCACATCTATATGAGGCAAAGATACAAAATAGGTACAGTGTGATTATCATTCACACCTTGTATTAAAAAAACACACAAAAAAAACCAGATATCTCAATCTTACTATTTAAACAGTAATTACATTACCGATCCCACCTGTAACTAACTGCCTCTTACTGATCCCACCTGTAACTAACTGCCTCTTACTGATCCCACCTGTAACTATATTGTCTCTTACTGATCCCACCTGTAACTAACTGCCTCTTACTGATCCCACCTGTAACTACATTGTCTCTTACTGATCCCACCTGTAACTACATAGTCTCTTACTGATCCCACCTGTAACTATCTGCCTCCACCTGTAACTAACTGCCTCTTACTGATCCCACCTGTAACTATATTGTCTCTTACTGATCCCACCTGTAACTATCTGCCTCTTACTGATCCCACCTGTAACTACATTGCCTCTTACTGATCCCACCTGTAACTATCTGTCTTTTACTGATCCCACCTGTAACTACATTGTCTCTTACTGATCCCACCTGTAACTATATTGTCTCTTACTGATCCCACCTGTAACTACATTACCTCTTACTGATCCCACCTGTAAGTATATTGTCTCTTACTGATCCCACCTGTAACTATCTGTCTTTTACTGATCCCACCTGTAACTATCTGTCTTTTACTGATCCCACCTGTAACTACATTACCTCTTACTGATCCCACCTGTAAGTATATTGTCTCTTACTGATCCCACCTGTAACTATCTGTCTTTTACTGATCCAACCTGTAACTATCTGCCTCTTACTGATCCAACCTGTAACTAACTGCCCCTTACTGATCCCACCTGTAACTATATTGTCTCTTACTGATCCCACCTGTAACTATATTGTCTCTTACTGATCCCACCTGTAACTATATTGTCTCTTACTGATCCCACCTGTAACTATATTGTCTCTTACTGATCCCACCTGTAACTATCTGTCTTTTACTGATCCAACCTGTAACTATCTGCCTCTTACTGATCCCACCTGTAACTATATTGTCTCTTACTGATCCCACCTGTAACTACATCACCTGTTACTGATCCCACCTATAAGTATATTGTCTCTTACTCTTAACTATATTGCCTCTTACTGATCCCACCTGTAACTACATTACCTCTTACTCTTACTGCCTCTGATCCCACCTGTAACTATATTGTCTCTTACTGATCCCACCTGTAACTATCTGTATTGTCTCTTACTGATCCCACCTGTAACTATCTGTCTCTTACTGATCCCACCTGTAACTACATTACCTCTAACTTTATTGTCTCTTACTGATCCCACCTGTAAGTATATCTGTCTCTTCTCCCACCTGTAACTATATTGTCCCTTACTGATCCCACCTGTAACTATCCCACCTGTAACTGTCTCTCTTACTGATCCAACCTGTAACTAACTGCCTCTTACTGATCCCACCTGTAACTATATTGTCTCTTACTGATCCCACCTGTAACTATATTGTCTCTTACTGATCCAACCTGTAACTATATTGTCTCTTACTGATCCCACCTGTAACTATATTGTCTCTTACTGATCCCACCTGTAACTATCTGTCTTTTATACTGATCCAACCTGTAACTACTGCCCCTTCTGATCCCACCTGTAACTATCTGCCTTTTACTGATCCAACCTGTAACTATATTGCCTCTTACTGATCCCACCTGTAACTATATTGTCTCTTACTGATCCCACCTGTAACTATATTGTCTCTTACTGATCCCACCTGTAACTACATCACCTGTTACTGATCCCACCTATAAGTATATTGTCTCTTACTGATCCCACCTGTAACTATCTGTCTTTTACTGATCCAACCTGTAACTATATTGCCTCTTACTGATCCCACCTGTAACTACATTACCTCTTACTGATCCCACCTGTTACTAACTGCCTCTTACTGATCCCACCTGTAACTATATTGTCTCTTACTGATCCCACCTGTAACTACATTACCTCTTACTGGTCCCACCTGTAAGTATATTGTCTCTTACTGATCCCACCTGTAACTATCTGTCTCTTACTGATCCCACCCCTAACTACATTACCTCTTACTGATCCCACCTGTAACTTTATTGTCTCTTACTGATCCCACCTGTAACTATCTGTCTCTTACTGATCCCACCTGTAACTATATTGTCTCTTACTGATCCCACCTGTAACTATCTGTCTCTTACTGATCCCACCTGTAACTATATTGCCTCTTAAAGAGGTAAATTCACTTACTCCTTGTTTGTGTTACTTTAATTAGATAAATAAATTTTGCCACAAGAAAAAAATTACTTTTGAAGAAAAACAATGAAAAGAAAAATTCAGCATTAGCAATGACAAGACCTATTCAGTTTTCTAGCACACAATAATCCATATAAAGTTTACTTGTATTTCAGTTGGAACACACAAGGTTAAATATGGTTTTACCTCAGAAACCCTGCTACCAGACATTCAACTTCTGGGTGGTCACGTAGGTATCTTTCATTTTCAAGCCTTGTTTTTGTCTGCAATAAAAGATTGTCAGTATGATAAAGAAACATATGTTACCATGGTAACATAATCTGACAGAAAGATTAGAGCATTCACTCAAGTATACGTAAACATATCAGCTATACCTACATCAAATGGAGGACATGTACATGAAACTGTATAATTAAGTTAAATGATACCTTTCCCTATAATAGACTATCTCATTTGATTGTAAATAAATTCATTTCTGATACAAAAAAAAACATATTTCAGTCCATGTATATGCATTCAAGAGGGAAGTTCTGGGTCTTGTTTATGTGTTTATTTCCTAACATAAAAAAATGACATTGTCTAGTTGACAGTAATGAAATTTTCATTAATTGTTCTGAACATTTATCAAAACCAGTCAGAATGACCCACTTTGCATCAATGTTTGTTTGCAGTACCAGCTCATTGTAATTAAATAATTGAGACCAGGCGATGCTGAGAAAATGGATCTAAAGAGGCCTCTTGCCCCAACATAACTTGGGCACTTGATTTAACTTTGTTTGAAATAACACAGCAAGATACAGAAACTTATGACTGTCAGCATGATAGAGTTAGACAATATATTAACTACCCAATAGAGACTGATCAATGATTTAAGTTGTGTGCACCATCAGTCGTCATTTAATAATCAAACTTTAATTGTATATATGACAAGTTATATCTGCCTGTGTATATATCAGTAGTCCTGTGATATGTATGTCTTCAAATTTTCATATCCTGATATCAACCGTTTGTAACTGGATATTGAATATGAATGTTCTTGCCGAATCTCAAACCTTCAAAGACATATATTATTGGAAAAAGCATATCACTGAAATCAGATCATGAGTATGTGAAATGATAATCATTATGTAACTAAAATTACTGTGATCCTAAACAAATGCATTAAAGGATCCTTATAATTTTTGTAACGCTCATCATAATAATTATTTAACATTATGAACACCCGATTCCTGTGAATAAATACCAATAAATAACACGCCATTGTCTGAAATATTGACACAGAGAGCTGATCTACGGGGATGGACTTTTGTGCAGTGGTCCACGCCGCAGTAAGCCCAAAAGTGTTCTTAAGTTTACTATTACAATTCATAATTTTGCATTTTTTTATTCGTTAACATATTTCTAATAATATTTTTGTCAATTTCAGAGGTGATTTTTTAAGTAGGCATGCACGGCACATGATCGCTTTTTTATCAAAATATTCGGTGAAGACAAACCTTGAATTTGTTCAGTTTCTCTTGTTGTTCCTGTGAGAGAGCTCCAAGGTCATCTTGCCTGGATAAATCGTATGGTTCCATCCCATGGGGAGGTTGATGTTGAGGTTTGTCTGCCATTTTGCTTATCGCCTTGGCAATACCGGAAAATGATCATTGCAGTAAGCGACTACCAGATGTCGCTTATAACGTTACAAATTAAATTGCTGTTGGGTGAAATACTGTACGCCGCACCTATACCTGACCACGGAATTATCAATTAACTTCATTTAAGAGTATCTTCAGATAATATATAATTCAGCACTTTGATTGAAATGATTTCTAGGGTTTTCTCAATCGATCTTATGTATATTTCAAGCCGTTTAAACGGCACGCTAAATCTTGAGACACAGGCTAGAATGTAATATTATCCATTTAAAAATTTACATTCAACTCTTCATTATAAACTCATCTATTATGTAAATCATCCATCACAACCGACATCACAAACGTTTGAAAAATGTCAAGTCTTCCGCTTCATAATCAATGAAATACCTACAATGTAATAAAAGACATAAAAAGATTGAAAAGTTGTTTTTTTCTTCCTGTATAATATTGAGTTAAAATTCCGCATGAAAAACACTCAACAATACGTCGTTTCATAAATCTACATCAAGCTTCACCTATTCCTTCCCTTTAAATCCACGGAAACAAAATATTTAAGTTTAAAATCATTGACAGTATTATGACATTCAACCCCGATTGTTTGTTTCTGCACATTTGATGTCATTTTTAAAACTTTCCTATTTTCCCTAATGCACGCTGGCAAGGCTTAAAGAAGGGTACTAATGTATTTATTACACACAGGTGTTTAAAGAGGGAGGGGACGAATTGTGTATGGAAGTGGGGGACACAGTCCCCAGGAGATGAATCGATTTATTTTTGTATATACAACATACATGTTTACGTCCCGATTAAAAGTCATATATTTATTCAAGATCCACGATTTTATTAGTGCACTTAGGCACACTGACCTCTACTTACATTACTCATTGGAAGTATTCTTTGATCTTTGCTTGTTCATTACCCAAAGCCCTCACGAAACCCTCTAACCTGTATACTTGTTCATAACTCCAAGCCCACATGGTACCCATCATTCTTTATATATCACAAATAAATGTAGAATAATAAAATATTGGTTAAAACTTTAAAACACAGAAAACTGTATTATACAAGCATGTTACAGGGAGATGGTCCAAAATAATGATATTTGGATAACTGGTATTAGGAATGAGCTATATAGATTAGGACTGGGCTACATATGGGAATCTCGACATCCAGACATTAATATGTACGCTATTTTTAAACAGAGAATAATTGATATATTTCGTCAAGACTGTATTGATAAATAAGTTCTTCCCAAAAGATAGTCTGTATAGAAAGGATATCTCAAATCTACCAAACTTTTTAAAACTTGCAAACAAGAGAAGACTAGAAGGTCTACAATAAGTAAAGGCTATTTTTCTTAGAACTTGTACACTGTATGTCTATATTGAAGTGACACAGTGTGAATCGTTTTAATATCATTTGAAATCTGTTGGGTTTTTTTCTTTACAATCCTTTTTCCTATGTTCGTTACATGGTATATCAATAGTTCTGTGCATAACGTATGCTTGTTATTTCAACCTGTAATCATTGTAAGATGGTGCTTTGACGAGATTGATAACAGGAAATTGTTTATAGCTAGAATATGTTTTATTTGTATTAAGGTCATTCTATACACTATATGTTAGATTTGTGTGTGTGTGTGTGTCCGTGCGTGCGTGCGTGCGTGCGTGCGTGTGTGTGTGTGGTGCGAAAGTATTGTATGACGTCTATACATTGTAAATATTCAATTGTCTACTGATGAGCCAGATGGCTTAAAGTAATAAAGAACTTAAACTTGGTTAAAAGCGAGGTTCTGAAATACCTGTATACCTGCTCATTACTTCAAGCCCAGACAGTACACACCAACCTGTATACCTGCTCATTACTCCAAGCCCAGACAGTACACACCAACCTGTATACTTGTTCATTACCCCAAGCCCAGAGAGTACCCACCAACCTGTATACTTGTTCATTACCCCAAGCCAAGACAGTACCCACCAACCTGTATACCTGCTCATTACTTCAAGCCCAGACAGTACACACCAACCTGTATACTTGATCATTACTTCAAGCCCAGACAGTACCCACCAACCTGTATACCTGCTCATTACCCCAAGCCCAGACAGTACCCACCAACCGGTATACTTGTTCATTACCCCAAGTCAAGACAGTACCCACCAACCGGTATACTTGTTCATTACCCCAAGCCCAGACAGTACCCACCAACCTGTATACCTGCTCATTACTTCAAGCCCAGACAGTACACACCAACCTGTATACCTGCTCATTACCCCAAGCCCAGACAGTACCCACCAACCTGTATACTTGATCATTACTCCAAGCCCAGACAGTACCTACCAACCTGTATACCTGCTCATTACCCCAAGCCCAGACAGTACACACCAACCTGTATACTCGTTCATTACCCCAAGCCCAGACAGTACCCACCAATCTGTATACTTGTTCATTACCCCAAGCCAAGACAGTACCCACCAACCGGTATACTTGTTCATTACCCCAAGCCCAGACAGTACCCACCAACCTGTATACCTGCTCATTACTCCAAGCCCAGACAGTACCCACCAACCTGTATACTTGTTCATTACCCCAAGCCCAGACAGTACTCACCAACCTGTATACTGTATCACTTTCATTACTCTTGCTCAGATAGACACAACCCACCAACCAATCCCCTAGACAGTATCCTACAACGGTAGAACTGTTCACAGATAATAGTCTACACGGTACCTAACCACCTGTCCCAATAACACGATTTTCGTAAAAAAAAATGTCTTCAGCTGACGGATAAACTTACTATACATAGATTTCAGAGATGCAAGTTGATGGAGACTTAAGCCATGTTTTATTATCTGAAATATGACCACAATCTTTTCAATCTTTTGTTAGCTTTTACAACGGAACATCCAACTCCTTCTCTCCTCCCCAGATATATCGACCAATAACATTACACATAGGATTATGACCATATATAGGATATTCCTGCTGTTTGTATTTATTTTTAATGACAGTCTCTAAATCAAAATGCTCCGAATGAAGCTAGCTGTTGTATTTGTCAATTAAATGTTATAGATACTGAATAACTCACATGGCAACAATACTGCAATCTATGACCTTTCTAAAAGACAGAATGACGTTACCATTTAGAATGACTGACGTAGGCATAAATATTATCCTATATGGATTAGAGGAAAATCTGACAGACAGACGGACGGATGAAGAAGCAATTGTTAAATCCCTCGCTTGAGTTAAGCGAAAGTATGAAATTACATATTTCTGAATTAATTGACTTTGGTAGTCAGAAAACGATCGATGTGTAAACCAAATTCAGATTCGATGAACGTTGCATTTGTGTCATTGTTCCAAATTTCTGTCTACATTTTTATTAAAATTATATTGATAAAAAGAAAATAATGGCCTACCAATGAAATACAATTCTCGTCGCTATAGTGAACGAGCGTTACAAAACGACAAATTCACAAAGTTTGATTTTCGGTTTTAACATGGAAAGGTTACCCATACATTTGTCTTATCTTGGAAACTAATATTTTATTTCTCACATTCTGACAAAAATTGTTTTCAATTTCAAATAAAGATGAATTTTTCTCTCACAAAAAAAATATCAGCTACAAAGCACCTTCCAAGCATCTTTTTTTAAAAGTTTAGATAAATAAACATTCTCTGATCTCGTCAGCTTTACACAGTGGCGGTACCATAATAGATGAGGAATTTCTGAGACGTGGTTATTGCTAGTTGAAAACTAGACTCAATACCCGCACTGTGGCCTGAAAATGGCCGCAAGTGCAATTTTTGACAGCTCCTACGGTAGCAAAATATCACAAACTAAGAAACATATAACGATTTATTTCCTACGATTTGGTTTCGTCCACCCTCCACATCAAAATGCTCATAATCAAGCAAGCCGTTTTTGTTAATGAATTAAATATGATGAAAACAACGAAAACGATGACTTATAGGTGATCTGAACAAGCTAAGAAACATTCAACCCTTCCTCACTGCCCCAAATTGGTGTGTGATGTAATAGATTACGCGACACATCTCGAATATTGGCCAAACAGAAAAGACATGACCACAATAAAGGAATTATTTTATTAAGTTTGTTTGTAATTTTAACGATACAGTTTCGTCGGTCCTTCTGTATCAAAACACTAAAAATCAAGCATGCTGCTTTTGACGACAATGAAACATATACGTCACAGTGATACCTTTGTAAGGAGCACATCATCAAACAAAATATTTGCAGTTAACTGAATTCAGACCAAATGTTACACTAAGTCGTCGTTTCTAAAATCAACTTCAGAAATTTAATTTTTTATTTAGATGTAACTCGAATATTGCCCCCATTAATGATATTATTTGTAGTAATAAAAAATAGCCAACAAATTCACAAAATGATTGAATATGTGAAAATATTCTAGGTCATGGGGTCATGGGGTCATAGGGTAACCGATGAAGGTATTAACCGAAAAGAAGCCATCGTATAAAAGAAGAAAACATTCAATAAATTCAACAAGTAAAAAAAATACCAACAAAGATATTCACAAAATTTCTCGAGTAAAAAAAAAGAAAATATTTCATTAAAGAACTTTTTGGGAAACATCCAACACAAAACAGCTACAGTGTATTGGACATCACCAAGGAGCAAACACAACTGATTGAACATGTATAATTCAATTACGACTCTCTCAATATCACTCATATTAAGTACCAGTGATGTGCATGATTTCTTACACAAACAAAACGCTATTTAGTTTCTCTAAGGACAAACTTGTAATGTAATCTCCTTCAAAAGTGTCATATAAACCCAAAGTGCGTACTTATAACGGCACAATGTAACATAAGCAATCCTACCACATAAATAATGCATGAGAAAGGAAATGTCTGATTAAATCGGGTAGGTAAGCTGTGTCTGTATATCACACGCCTGGCTGGTGTACCTAGTCCAGCCGTGTTGG